TTCAAATTCCATCTCCCCTATTTATTAACTGTGTGACCTTGAGCCAATCACTTACCTTTTGTGGCTGTTCTGAAGATTCAATGGAATGATGGAAGTAAATCTCCAGGCATATAAAAGTGCCCAATCAAAGATAGAGGCAACTGTTGTTTTGGCTGTTTTGCTGTTATTACTATTACAGTGGTAATGACTACTGCCAACAGACATCGATAAAGAAAAAAAAAAATATTAAAAGCCTCCCCACTTATTAGCCAAATAATTCCTACTTCTTTTACTTAGCATTTAATTTACGGCTATCTGTATTTCCAGTTAGCTTGGTAATCATATGTCCTATTCAGGACAACTGGGTGAGGATGGTTAACGTTATTATTTTCATTTTCTAGATGAGGAATCTTGTTTCCTACGCATGATGACTGAGTGAAGACAGTTAACATTATTATTCCCATTTTCTAGATAAGGAAAAGGCAACATCTTCCATCTATTATCTCCAGTTTATGATTCTGATTAAAGGCACCTGTTGTCATGTTCATTAGTTCCCTATGAAAAATGATATTCATCACAGCTGTCAAGTGTAGGAAATAAGAATTAACAAGCACTTGATAGCAACCCCAAAATAACATCTAGATAATCTTACGAACATCAAAGTCATGGCAAACAAGTTCCAATTTAAATAAAGGTGCTGGACAGGATTAGGGAAAAATGAACAAATGCATCTTCTTCATCCACATTCATTTAAGAAATGTCTGACATAGCTTAGAAATTGTTTTTGAAATGTAGACTGAAGAACTGTTAATTTCCTCTATGAAAGGTCTTCAGTTAGCAAGTTGCAACAGACTAATGTATCCTGATATTTACTCTTAAATTAGAGCTACAAAGTAGGAGAGATCCAAGATGGAAAGACTTGGTTCAAGGGTTCTCTAAAAAGGCCACCAGGAAGCCCATGGACTCTGTGCAAGGGGCCTATCACTCCAAAGACACCAAATACATTCCCGACACTAAATAATGGCTTGCCCATAAATGTATCCCTTTTCATATGCGTGAAATTTCCATGAATAAAAATATATTATGCCTCTAGAAATATTGCTGAATTTATAATTATTATATGTAACTACAATTATCTTGGGGGGAGGGACTGAATTTTATTATTGTTGTTAAAAAGAGCCTTCATACTCAAAAAGCTTAGGAAATTCTAACGCAGTGCAAACACCTCTTTTTACTGACATAGATGGATCTCAGGGGCAGCTGGGACTCCAATCTATGTTTTCTCATTTCCAGACAAGTGCTTCTTGTCACACGCCATACATGCCTTCCAGTGCAGTTACAGATTCATGAGACATTAACAGTCATGACTGTATCCTCTAGTATCATTTCCTCTTTCTAAAATAGGAGAGCACAGTCCTACCCTCTCTGTGTGAATATGTTGCAGAAACTTTCTAAATCTCCTGAGCCTCTTCTTTCCCCTTTCTTCCCTCCCATCCTCAGCACCCCAGTTTGGTAAGTTTAGGGTTAGCAATACACTTGACCCTTCTCAAGTACCCTTAGACATTCAATCTCATTATGAAATGGAAACACAATCACCAAGATACTAAAACAAGGAATGTATAAAGTATGTATAAAATCTGCATATATATGAGTGCTAAAACCCCATAAACATTTCCTAATATCTATGAAAAATAAGAAAATGGAATATTCATGAATAATCATTTTATTTACCTGGATCTGTCAATACCAATCAGCTGTTAATAAACCCCTTGCATACCAACTTTTTTCCAAATACTTTCACATTTATGATTTCACTTTGTCCTGATGACTCACTCTGATATAAGTGCTACTGGAGTGTCACTGGAACTTAAACTCCATGAAGAGAAGGAATTTCTTTTATTCACTGTTCTTTCCCCAGTGCCTACAACAGTGTCTGGCACGTGGTGGGCATTCAATAAATATTTGTTGATTGAGTGAATGACAAGTTGACTGACCAGGATGGTAGTTTCTATTTATTAATTGATTTTTTGACTTCACGTATTGTCAGTCTTTTTTTGAGAAAATGAAATGAGTCTACAAGGGAACAATTGAGAGTTCTTCTTAAAGTTTTCATCCTCTTGGAACTTTAACATCCTTCTCTCAAATACTGTAAATGTAATTTTTCAAGGCTTTACAAGTAATGCATTCATTACAGGAAAACCTGATACTATCAGTATATGAAAAGAAGAAAATAAAAGGTCCTGGTAATCGGATCACCTTGGGACAACACAATTAGCACGCTGATATGTATCTTTTCAGACTTTTTTCTATGCAGTTCTACACACACAAACACATACATATGAAACATTTCCTAAAGTCTCTGCCTTAGACTTGGTGATTTTGACTTTTTCCTTTTTCTCTAAACTCTTTTTCCTGATGTAGCTCCTTGCCTTCCTTTTATGTCTTAAATATATTCCTTCCCCAATATTTAGGTCCTACTTCAAAATGATGTTTCCCCCTTTGCCCTCCAAAGGATTTGTCTGTTCTTACAACTCTGAACGCTGTGCAGATATTGTCTATCTGGATCTTCAGTCCTCCTTTTCCTCTGGGATACCAGTGCTCCTCAAGCTCTACACATCTAACTCCCAATGCATCATGTTGCCTCCATCAAAACCAGATGATGCACTGATCCTACTTCCATTTACTATCACAGAATTCTACAAGGTAGCCTCAATAGCCATCTTTGCTTCCCCAAACCCACATCCAACCACTCAATGCCTTTTACATCCATCCTTCCTATTCTCTCTTACCCATCAATTCCCATGGTTGCCATCAGTGTTTAGGCCATTGCACACACACAATTTTCTGCCTCTGTCTCTTGTTTTCTGTATAACAAAAACCCATCAATGCTACCCACTGCTGCAAGTTAACTTCCTAAAACCCTACTTATTTCTTACCCTTCCTATATTCAGAAATTTGTGGTTGCTTCCTTCTCCTACAAAATGGGATTCCAGCCTCTTCATAGTATCACCTCGAACTACTTTTCCAACCTATTTCTCATTATACATGAAAAGAAACTCTTTGCTCCAGCCAGGCTGGTGTACTCATGATTCACCCACCTTCAAAACGTTTGATTGTGAGTTAAGTACTTATTAACCATTTATTATGTGTAAAACCCATTCATCCATTCACCAAATCTTTAGTGAGCAGCATTCCATCCGGTAATGTAATGATGCTGCAGACACAGTGGTGAACAAGACAGACCAAGTTGCTGTCCCCCTGGAACTGAGGCAAATGAGTTACAGGGAGAGACTCTAAGACATGGTGGTCCCCGCCCAGGATACTCGAAATCTTCCATTGAAAGGTCAAATGAATCAACACATCCCTGAGGGCTGAACTTTGTGGTCCAGGCAGCAAATGAGGGAAGAGTTCGGAAAGAAGGGCTGGCTGGAGTGAGAGCTGGACTGTGGATGCGGCTTCATTGATGTGGGACTCAACCTGTGCACTCAAGGATGAGCATAGGAGAGAAGCAGGTGCCTTTCTTCCAGGGATATATGAGGAAAAGCAAAAAGGTGGACTGGAAACAACAGCAATAGTATCAGCTTATTTTGCATAAGGGTTCATTCAACACCTATTCAGCAGAGCACATACTCTGCCCATGCAGGGCCCCAGGCTCCGTGGTAGTTATGAAGATAACAGATTCAGCTCCTACCGTCAGGGGATTTCCATCTAGCAAGGAGAGAAGACAGGTTCATGATGGTCTATCACACACAGACAGTGAGAAGTTCCATGAGAGAGCAGAGAGAACACGGCGGAAGTTTGGAAGGTGCATGTCTGGGCTGCATAACATTACTTACAGCATCACATTTTTATGCATCTGCATCATACGTGCATGTATTGAAAATAACTGTCTTGTTTCAAAGGGCTTTCTCACTCACTTTCTCATTTTATGCTAAGTGACTCAGAAAACAGGCAGAGTAGGTATGATGTTTTCCATTGGGGGCAAAGTGTGGCACACATCTTAACTCATCTACTTGAGTAGGGAACATAAACTGGCGAGAGTAAAACAAGAACAGCCTGTCCATCGCCGCCCACTCCTGCAGCATTGGAAGTATCTAGAACTGAGGACGCACACTAACTTCTGTAATCGTATGACACCTGGCAGGTGCGGTGAAGCCAGGAAGCCACTTTGGATTGAAAAGGGCATGACATAGGCAGCATTCTGGAGAGAGAATGGGAGCTAAGGCCATTCCCCCATTTCCGTTTTACCTCCCCAAGTCCTGCCTGAATCACCCGCCACCCTTAGGTCTGCCCGAACCACAACCATCCCTTAGGATTCACCCCAAATATTTTCAGCCCACACTGGTTTCTTTCATTCCGTTGTTTTCACCCCCGCTAATATCCCAGGGAAAGGTGAGTGGCCGTTTCTCTCCTGGACATCATAGCAGGCCCAGCCAGCACACGGCTCGGCTCAGAGCAAGTAGTTAATAAGCACGAGCCCAGTGAAAAAATTCCTGAGACCGCCACAGCTCAGTATGTTCTGAGCTCCCACATCCCTCCCCCAACAGAGTGGGCCTGCCTTGCACAGGCGGCCCTAGCAACCCGGAGCAGCTCACTAAGCGCAGAGAGCTAGGGGGCGCGTGGGGTGGGCCGGGTGGCCCGAGGCCCTGGGCCGAGGGGGGCCGAGGGGAGCCGAGCGCGCGACCCCAGCTGGAAGTCTGAGCTAAGGCTGGCGCGTACGCGCTTGATGGGTCATTAAATATTTCCCCTTCTGGAAAATCGCCGGGGAAAAGTGGTGAAAAACGAAGCTGGGAGGGCAACAGTCCCGGGAGTCTAGGAGCCCAGACACCCTGGACCCAATCCCGCAGGGAGAGGAGGGAGGGGAGCGAGCCCAGAATTCTTTCTGGACCCGAAAAAGACAGCAGCTTTCGCCGCAGGAGGAACCTAGGCCTGGACGCCTCGCGAGATCTGGGGGTCGTGATCACGTTGCGTTGCCTAGCGACAGCAAGGACGCTCGTGGGCCCCCAGGCTAAACCCCGTTGTAGCCTTTTAAATCTCCTACCATGGGGGAAGAAGGCGGCGGCCGCAGCTGTGGGACCACTAAGGAGCTGCAGAAGCTGAAGCAGCAGGCGATGGAGTACTACCGGGAGAACGACGTTCCGCGCAGGCTGGAAGAGCTGCTCAACTCAACCTTCTACCTACAGCCTGCCGACGTCTACGGGCACCTGGTAGGGCCCTGGGACAAGCGCCCTCCTCCCTCCAGCCCCGCTCCCCCCGCCCAGCGCTGCGGTACCGCGGAGCGCCGCGCCGCAGAGCCGCGCATGCGCGCTGCCGGGGTACTGGGTCTGCGTCAAGCGGAGACTCCTCGAGGGAAGGAGCGGAAGGACACCCTGGGGCGAAAGAATCTCCGCAGAGAAGGTAGTGAAAAGGAAGGAGCAGGAGAAAAGAGGGCTCTAGGCGGATTTGACCTGCTGCGACAGCCCAGGGCCTGGCAGGCTTCCTCGCTACCTAAGGGGCCTCTCCGCTTGTGGGCCGGCCCGCCGCTCCTGGCTGCCAATTGTCATTTTTAACAAAGACCTTAATGGCCCCAGCTCAGCTCACCGACCTTCAGCAGGTCCCTTTTGACCACAGAATGAACACCTTGGTGTTTGCTACAGCTTGACCTCAGCCTAGCCTGGGGCCTCATTCTGCTGGCTCCTCTGCCGGGATGCCTGCTTCTATCTGACCAGCCCCCTCCCTAAACTCCAAAATTCAGACCAAAGCCTTGCCCACGTAGCCCTGGACCAACTGTCCTTCTGGGTGCCTATAGCATGTCCTTCGTATATTCCAGGTCCCTGAGGCAGCCTCCCTAGGCAGCCTGTGAGCCCCTGCTGGTCACAGGGGCCTTTTCTTACCACCGTACGAGTCTGTGCCCAGCCCAGAGATCTGGCACATACCTTAACCTTAAGCAGCGAGCAGTTGAAGCAAATGCGTTTTCTCCCTTCCAGATCCAAAAGTAGTAACCCACACTTACCGTCTGGAAGTCAAGTGTGGTTGGGGCTTCTAGGAGTTTGCACTTTGGTGAGGGAAAGCAAGGAGGCAGCGGGCTATGAAGAAGCAGATGTGCTGTCAGGATGCAAAACCACGTCTGTTGAGGCAGTTGATATAAAGGATGATCCGAGAGTGATTTTTTTCCCCTCATTCATGACCTATAAAATGGGAGAAGTGTGGGGTTTTCTGAGCCCCTTGTGCTGCATGCTATAACTCCTTAGTACCACTACGATGAGGTAAAAATGATGATTCCGGCTGGGTGCGGTGGCTCACACCTGTAATCCCAACACTTTGGGAGGCCAAGGCAAGCAGATTACCTGAAATCAGGAGTTCGAGACCAGCGTGGCCAACACAGAGAAACTCGTCTCTGCTAAAAATACAAAATTCGCTGGGCGTGGTGGCGCACGCCTGTAATCCCTGCTACTCGGAAGGCTGAGGCAGGAGAATCGCTGGAACCTGGGAGGCGGGTAGTGGTGAGCCGAGATTGTGTCATGGCACTCCAGCCTGGGCCACAAGAGTGAAACTCTGTCTCAAAAAAAAAAAAAAAAAAAAAAAAAGTGAACATGGACTCTTGTTCCCCAGTATAATGATCTTCTCATTCTATTAAGCAGCCAGGATATTTGTTTGTACAGCTCTCAGGGAACTTATATCTTAGTTTGGGACAAAGGTCACTAATATATAAAATAATTGGAGCAAAAGAGAAGGCGATAGATGACTGTGTGCCAGATCGAGGGACAGATCTCTATATTGCTAATAAAGGAATTCAGGGATAGAGAAGATCCTTGGAGGCTGTATATCCAGGAAGCCTTTGGCTTGGACTTTGAAGGATGTTCAGGAATTGCAAAGGCAAAAAAGCAACCTCCTTTTCTTTTTATTTACTGCTCTAGTTCTGGCCGTGCTTACTCTCACCTAGTCTCTCCCTCTATCTAGGCCATCCTGCAGAGTGCTGCTAGAGCAGGGTCCTAGCATGCAAGTCTGACCATAGTTCTCTTCCTCAGAAACCTCCTGTGGCTTTTCCCTGCTTGCTGGCCTTCGTGGGGTTCACAGTGCTCAGCCCCTGCCTCTGGTAACAGATACATCTCCCACTCCCCTGCCTTGCTTCTCTACACCGAATCACTGACTTTTTCCTAAAGCCAGAAGTTTCCTACCTTTCTCCTCTTTGCTTGTCCTATTTCCTCTCCCTAAAATATATGCTCTCCACATCGCCCCCTTGACTGCCACTGAAACATTATACCTCCTCCAGTGTTCAGCTCCAATATAATTTTTTCTGTCCCTCTGCAACACTGATACGGGTTGGCTCTGTCCCCACCCAAATTTCATCTTGAATTGTACTTCTGGTAATCCCCACATACAACTTGTGGGGAAGGACCCTGTGGGAGGTAATTAAATTATGGGGGTGGTTATCCTCATGCTGTTCTCTTGATAGTGAGTGAGTTCTCATGAGATCTGATGGTTTTATAAGGGGCTCTCCCACCCCTCGACTTCACTTTGCACTTTTCCTTCTGGCCATCATATGAAGAAGGATATGTTTGCTTTTCCTTCTACCACGATTGTAGGTTTCCTGAGGCCTCCCCAGCTGTATGGAACCTCATGCATGAGCCATGGTCAATTAAACCTCTTTTCCTTTATAAATTACTCAGTCTCAGGCAGTCCTTTATAGCATGTGAGAACAAACTAAGACAGACATATTAGAGGAATTCACACAGGTAAAGATCATTGCAGACAACAATACAATTTATTCCATCATCACAAAACTTAATGATTGAAAGAGTTTTGGATTGGGAATATGGCAGATCTGGTTTTGATTCTTAGATCTGCCACTTAATCACTGTGACAGAGTTACACTGATGGTCCTCTAAGGAACTAGACCTCCAGTGTGAACAGTCTTTTGTAAGTCCCTCCCACACCGACTCTGGACTTGGCCATGTCACTTAGTTTGATCAATGAGACCTTGGAAAGCACGATACAAACAGAGAGTTGATAAGTGCTGGCATATTGAAGCTTGTCCTCTTGGAAGCTAGTCATCATGCTGTGAGGATGTCCCAGTTACCCTGCTGGAAAGAGAGAGATTGTGTAAAGAACGATCCTGACAGATACGTGACCCCTCAGAATATCCTGTGAGAAAGACAGATGCCCAGCCAGCCCCTCACTGTGCCAGCCATCCCAGTGAGGCACTGGACATTGAGTGAAAACAGCTTGGATATGCTGGTTTCCGTCAAGCCTCCAGATGATTACATATGCATAAGGAACTCCAAACAAGCCCATCAAAAGAATTTCCCAGTTGAAGCTCCTCCCAGATTACAGGATCATGAGCAAGTTAATGGTTTAAACCACTAAGGTTTGGGGAGGTCTGTTACAATAGTAGATAATGAAAATATTGGCTAAGTGATCTTGGACAGTTAATTTTTATGGAACTCAGTCTGCTCACATGTGGGATGGAGATGATACCACATACCTTAGAGAGTTGTGTTGTGAATGTAATGATACAATGTATATATAGTGCCCAGGGATGTAACTGACATTTATTAATTTATACAAGATTTAATTTATAGAATCCTATATATGTCGGGCCCTGTGGTTTTTGATATAGTGATAAAGAAGACATAGTCACTCTTTCAAAGCACATATTAAGCACTTTAAAAATGTTAGTTCCCTTCCTCTGCTAACACAACATGTGGCACATTATAGGTGCTTGGTGCTTCTTAAATTGAACTCGCTATAACAAACAGAGTGTAAGCTAAATAGCATTTTTCCTCTCCTGATTCTAGATTCATTTAGGCATTTACTCTTTAACATACAAACCACCATTTAAAAGGTCATGGATAGCTTGAAAATGAGCTCTTGCTTAATACTTCTGGGGCCTCACCGCTGAACTGGTGTGTCACTGTAGGTATTAGATGACCTGTTGTCTAGGTCGAAGACACTGGATTTTGAACTGAAAGATCAGAGACTTAGTCTGCTAAATGAAAGCAAAGCCTAATACTATCTAGTAATCAAGAGAGCAATAAGGATGTGCCTTCACCTTCCCTCCTTCCAGTCTCTCCTAGCGCCTTTTCCTCTGCACAGAAACACCTCCCTGAACCTTTTTATGCAGGCTCCTTGAGTGGGCCTTCTACCTCGGCTTCTCTTTCTTCAGTCTCTTAGATCAATTCCAAATGGCTTCTGCTTTCCACCTCAGTGAAACTGCTATTACTAAGGTTCCCAACAAGCCTCTTTGAATACATAGGACTTTGCATGAGCTGATGGTAAGATATAGCCACTGCGTAAGTCTCCACCACTAAAATACCACATGCCTCACTGAGAGGAATAAAAATCAGCTCATGGCAGGCTTCTTAAATTTAAATGCATCATGGTGTTCTAGAAACCAGTTGGTTTCTGTATCTTGAAACAAGGGAGCTGGGTACAGTGGCTGATGCCTATAATCCCAGCACTTTGGAAGGCTGAGGTGGAAGGATTGCTTGAGGCCAGGAGTGTGAGACCAGCCTGAGCAGCATAGTAAGATCCCATCTCTACAAAAAATAAACATTAGCCAGGTGTGGGGGCATATGCCTGTGGTCCCAGCTACTCCAGAGGCTGAGGTGGAAGAATCTCTTGAGCTGGGGTAGTTGAGGTTGCAGTGAGCCATGATGGTGCCGCTGCACTCCAGCCTGGGTGACAGAGCAAGACCCAGTCTCAAAAAAAGAAAAGAGGGATAGCTTAGGCAACTGAATTGACTATAATAAGGCCTGCTAAATAGTGACACAGGGCCTTTAAATTAAGAAATGTATGCAAATTTCTGTTGAGAGTTCAACATAAACCAAATTGCCCCATGTACCAGAGACTTGGGAGTGGGGTGAATCCAAATCTCAGTATGAGGGCAGGGCGGTTCTCACAGAACCGCTAGTCTAATCCTGGCATCAAGAATACTCATACAGAGGTTTGGTAGAAACTACAGTCAATGTGAATGACCTTTTGAAGATAAATTAGATGTGGTATTGTGACTTTTTTTCCAAACACCAACTTGAACCAGATGATTTTTGTTCTTTTGTGTGTGTTGAAGGCAAACTGCTTTTCTAAACTTGCAAAGCCTCCCACCATATGCAAAATTGTGGGGAAAGACGTACTGGATGGACTGGGGCTTCCAACCCTGCAAGTAGAAATATTCTGCACCATTCAAAACTTTCCCAAGGTATGAAGCAGTTTAAATGTGTTCCTTAATGTCCTGGCCCCACTGCATTTATTAGCAACTCTTATATAAACTGTAGAAAATTAATGTTTTGAAATCCAGTGTTTGTGAAATATATGTGTATTGCATAGGTAGTCACGTAAGCATGAATTATACAGTCAACCATGAGGGCTTTATTATGTTTAATTGTAACTTTGATACAGACATGACATACTAGCCCACGGATGATCCAACATGGATAAAAGGAATGAGGCAAAAATAGTTTTTAAACTCTGACATGACTCATATGATAGGTTCTATAAATCTATGTGTAGGTTTACAAATTAGTCTATTTACCTATTTATAGATGTTAGACTGACCTAAATATTTACTTTAATAGTTTTAACAATTCATTTTAATTTATTTTGCTACATATTTGTTAGAAATAATTTTTGCTGTAGTCTCTGGTAGGAGAATAATGATTAAATCTGCACTTTGTTGTTATTTGTTGGAGAAATAGTGATAAAAATGAAGTTCAGTGTAGGGTTTTTCTACGGGTATTTTAAGTGTTCTATGAAGCTGAGTTCCACCATGTTTCAACAGCTATAAAAATATCTCAAAGAATATTATATATTCTCATTCTTGCCTTGAAATTGGTGGTAAAATTTCGTGCATTTAAAACCTGGGTTCATTTAATTTCCTCTTTCTGGGAGAGGTAGGGAATGTGTAGAACACATTTGTATGATTTTCAGAGCATATGTTCTGTGGTGATCTCAACTCACTTTGAAGTCCATGAGAACACTCTGCCCGAGCTGGCCGAGGTGGAGGAGGCAGAGAGGGCCAGTGCGGTCAGCACAGCTGTGCAGTGGGTCAACGGCAGCATCACGCACGAGCTCCAGGGCATCACACCCTTTGACCAGGCAGAGGTGGATCACCTACTCAGGTACAGCTTCCACTTTGAAATATAAACATTAAGTACAAATACACATCCACTGTATTTCCATTTCACCTGCCAATAAAATGGGTCTGTCAAATCTATAGAATTGGGAAGTCAGTTTACAAAGAATATGTGAAAGCAGCCACATTTAACATAAAATTTGTTTTCTCCTGAAAACCCTGTAATTAACACCTTATTGTGTAATGCTACATAGGGCTTTTTGGTCTCTTTCCATGTACAGAGCTTTCTTAAGGCTTAGTAAAAAGTTTCTCAGGAAGAGAATCAGATTATGAATCCAGAGGATGCCCTTTTCCTCTCTCCACCCTGTCACATGCTACCTGTGAGCTTCTCATAACCTTTTATTTAGTTACAACAGCTGACACTTACTTTCTGTCCTCCAGCCACAACTGAGTCTTCCATGCTTTGCCCATAGGTTGACTCTAAAATGCTAACAAGGAAGCATTTATGAGGGCTATCGAAATGTTCTTCATTGCCTAACTAAGTAATAGGTTAGAATCGTTTTTCCGTTTTTGCAGGTCCAATCCAACAGCCCCTTGGCCAATAGCAGGTCAATTGGATTCTCTTTCCTTAAGCTTTATCCCTTACTTAATTGTGTACAACATTTTAGTTTGCTTCAAAGTAAGATGATGACCTTTGTAAAATAAACTGTTTTCTTTTCTTTCTTTCTTTTTTTTTTTTTTTTTTTCGACATAGAGTATTCCTCTGTCACCCAGGCTGGAGTGCAGTAGCATGATCTCGGCTCACCACAATCTCCATCTTCAAGGTTCGAGCAATTCTCCTGCCTTGGCCTCTGAGTAGCTGGGATTACAGGCACACACCACTATGCCCAGCTAATTTTTGTATTTTTAGTAGAGACGCGTTTTCAGCATGTTGGCCAGGCTGGTCAAGAACTCCTGACCTTAAGTAATCCACCTGCCTCAGCCTCCCAAAGTGCTGAGATTACAGGCATGAGCCACTGCACCTGGCCAAGAAATTTATTTGAATAGGTTTTGGGTTCTTGGAGTTTCTGAATGCCATTCTTCTATTCCTTCATTTTCTGTCTGCTGTCATTAGCAGAAAATGATAATCTGCTATTATCAGTTTCTTAGTTTTTGTGTTTTTTGTTTTTTTCTCAAGCTCTCAGTCACATCTTATATTTTATTATTCTCCTTTTTTTCCCCTGGCATTTTCCCTCCCCAAACCACCCATCTGGACTGGTTCTTCTGTAGACCAATTACAGAGATGCCATAAAGACTTCATTGTTCTCCTATTTCTGGATCCCACATTCTTTAATTTCATGGTTTGCTGGATCATATCCTTTAAAAGTAAGGATGAGAAAGTGTATATGGAATGTAAATATTCTTAGTTATTATATGTGTGGGAATATTGATACTTTGCCCCCATGGTTGATAGTTTAGCTAAGTATAGCATTCTCTGTTGAAATAAATTTCTCTCATACTTTAAAGGCATTGCCCCATCGGCATCTGGATTATTAATAAATCTGATGAAAATCTGGTTCCTGTCTTTTTTATTTGCATACTTTTTTGCCTACAGAAGTTTTTGCCTCTTCTTTTTATTCTGGCATGCTAAAATTTTACATAAATGCATCTAAATGGGATTTCCAAAAGTTTTCTTTTAATATTCATCCTAAGTGCCAAGAAAAAAAGAAAGGAAGTTCTCTATATTAATATGCTATATTTCACTCTGTTCTTGACACATTTGTTTCCTGATGGTCATTTTTACAAAAATAAAATACTGTAACCCTTAATAAAATTACATCTTCAAGTTTTACTCTAAAAATGCAAACTCAGAGCTCAAATAATTTAAAAATGAGCACCTGAAATCTTTAAACATTTATTTACATGCCGAAATAAATTTCAGTTCTTGAACACAGTTTTATTATAGTATCATTGTTTTCTGGCCTTGAAAATTAAAGCTGATTTGTTCTTAAGTAGCTAAAAAGCAGAGTTATTTACTGAAATATATTGTGGTCAGCTCTAAAACATGACCAAAATCACAGAGTGATATTCCTAAATATCCCATTGTAAAGCCATATTTTCTTGCCATTTAGGAAATTCTTTGTAGGTAAAGTACAAGAAGATAAGGAGAGAAAAGAATTGGAAAAGAGCCTGGAATACTCAACAGTGCTTATACCTCTACCTCCAGTACCACCGCCACCACCTCCTCCACCTCCTACCAAGAAAAAGGGGCAAAAGCCAGGTTGGTTGGTGACTTATCATCTTGTATAACCCGTAGTAACAAATGTGCGAGGAAGAAAGGCTAAAGCTTGGACTGCCTTTCTGAGTCTCTGCCACAGACCCAGTTTGGCCTATGGCCAAATCCATCTTATGCCACATCCTCACTCAAAGATCTTGCCCCATCCAACTCTCCATTTTTATTTCTAAAATAAAACCGTTTCTCACCCAAAGGTGAGAAATACTTTATTATTAAATAAGATACATTGAGCAGTGCCTAGTCAGGGGTAGGGTGGGAGGAGATGGCATGGGAGACCTTTCACCTCCCTTCAAAATTTCCAAAGCCACTCCACGTCTTAGAGTTTTGATTCCTTTGATATGAACAACCAACATTTTCTTAGCCCTATGTAAAATAAACATTTTCTTTATAAAATCATTTTAAAGCAAATAATAGAAATTATAACTTCCATTTGCCCTTGCTTCATGCCTTCCAACAGATTGCTAACCTCAGCCCCTGCAGAACATTCATTCTGGAGCTGCTCTTAGTGTAATAACAGCGTTTTGTATGTCTGCTGAACTAGAACATGCTCCTTAAGGGATGAATCATGTTTATTCCACTTGCCATTGCTCGTATCTAGCATGAGGCCAGGCACGAACCAAATACCCAATTAATGCAGGTTCCAATGAGTAAGAACGTAGTAGAACCAGGAAGGGATCAAAGATACCAGGGAGACAGGGTACCTTATTTCATAGATCCAGATGCTGAGGCCCAGAGAGTTAAAGAGATTTGCCCAAGACAAAATAACTATTTTTGAGCAATCTTCCCTTGGGAGGGTGTGATGGCCACTACTTAGTTGTAAGTAGAGACCAACATGGATGTTCATTTGGTGGTTGCTTTTGATTGACTGAACCTGGAGCTTAAGAGGAGGGAAGAAGTGGAGGGGACAGGTATTTGCTAAGCACTCATTAGGCATGAGGTGCTGAAATATCTTATCTCCACTGGGGGCCTGAACCACATCGGCAGCTGTGGAGGAAAGGACAAGAGGAACACTAGAGATGTACAATGAACTCTGTCTGGACCTCACAAGACAGGGAGGTTGAGAACATATTATAGTGAAAGATGGGTAGCGAATCTGGGTCGATGTTTGGATCTGAAAGGCACTGCTACAGATAGTAAACAACACAGAACAAGGCATTGGTTTGGGGTTGGTGAGAAAGATACTAAGATATGTGCATGAAGAGATGTTCAACAGAAAGTTAAGTATGCAGCAGCTATGGTGAAATATAGAAAAACAAAGATTTGAAATGTAAAGACAGCTGAAATCCTCCCTCTACTTTCTGTTACGTTAGGCGAGTCTTTTAATCTCTCTAAGCTCCAGTTAACATACATGTGAATGTAGAATAAAAATATCTCTCATATGATTGATGAAGGAATTAATATCAAATAGCCTGAAATGTCTTAGACAGGCAAAATCCATGGCTAATGATTATTTGAGAATCTTAAGCAAAATCAAACAGAAAACTCCCTGGGGGTTGAGGTAGAGCATCTGTTTTTCCCAGCCTCAGCTTTCGCCCTTTCTTTTCCCTGGGCCATTCCATTTGTAAGTAATTTAGAAATACAGTCTTATTCTCAATATTTCTCCCTCCAGGGAGGAAGGATACTGCTACAGAAAAACCTATTACACCTGCAGAACCTGTTGAACCTGTACTCAGTGGCAGTATGGCCATAGGCGCCGTGTCACTAGCTGTTGCCAAAACCTGTGGCATGCTGCTTAATAATCCTCTGTACTTAAATATTGCTCTATTGAAGCACAATCAGGTTAGTATCTATGGAGTTCCATTAAAAGGAGCCAGGAGTATCTCAATATGGATGCACCCTGTTTCTCATTTTCCCTTGTTTCCCCCCTATTTCAGGAACGGCCAACAATGCTATCTATGCCTTTGCTGATGGTTTCACTGGTTAGCTGTGGGAAGTCATCATCTGGGAAGCTAAATTTAATGAAAGAAGTGATCTGTATACCCCATCCTGAATTAACAGCCAAACAGGTACCTTACATTATCTCAAATTACCTTTTCTAAAAAAAAAAAAAATACGCCATCGTTGATGAACTTTTAGTGTAGCTCCCTTGTGACACCAAGGGAGAGGGAATTAAAGACAAAATAAGAAAAAAAAATATTTTAGGAAGTCAGAGAACTGGGAAAAAAGACCTCAGATAAAAGGGAGCACATGTAGACCACCTTAGATGGCTGGTTTCCTGACAGCATTGACTCAGGCTGGTGACTCAGAGAAGCCATAGGTGAGAAACTGCAGACCTATAAGGTGCTAGAAGGTTGTTATTTGGAGCACCTTTATTTACTCTGCACTGTGCCCTATGGCAGCAGCAAGTGAAAGCCAGCACCTTCTAGCAGCCCACTCTGTTCATTAAGAACTCCAGGACTAACAGATTGCCTGGAACCTATGAGGCTTTTAGTGCATATTCTTGGAGTGAATAAATCTCAAGTTGCATGTTCACCACTGAGAGGTGTGCTAGGGTCTATATTGCTCCTCAGTAGCCTGAAAGAGTCAATATGCCTCTTTAAATCTTCATGATGACTAAAGATTCATGATGTTTTCCAAAAAAGTACAGAAAGCTTTCCAATAAGTTGAGTGATATTTTATCTAAGTTAGTGGAAATCAGTTTTAAAAAATCCAGTTTTTTTATGATGAATTATTTCTTACATAATTATTGCCTTACAGTTTTCAATGGCAGACAACTAGGATTTATAGCTGGCTTATCATCCTTTAGTTAGTATCTGTTGAGCTGTTTGTGTACTGGAACACGAGGAATGCCATTCTTTATCAGGTCTTCATATGCAGATCTCATCATCAACACGTTTCTCCTTTTTAAGGGACAGTGGATTTATATTGATTCAGCCACTCTAATGCAGACTACCTTGGTGACCTGTGACATGTATTGTAAGAAAGTTGTCCAGGTTGGCCAGGCACGGTGGCTCATGCTTGTAATCCAACATTTTGGGAGGACAAGACGGGAGGATCACCTGAGGTCAGGAGTTCAAGACCAGCCTGGCCAACATGGTGAGACCCTGTTTCTACTAAAAATACAAAAATTAGCTACGTGTGGTGGTACAAACCTGTAATCCCAGCCACTTGGAGACAGAGGCAGGAGAATTGCTTGAACCCAGGAAGTGGAGATTGCAGTAAGCTGAGATCGCACACCACTGTGTGCTCCAGCCTGGGCAACAGAGTGAGACTGTCTCAAAAAAAAAAAAAAAAAAAAAAAAAAAAAAGGAAGAAGAAGAAGAAGGGTTAAGAGAGGCTCCTGAGGGAGAAGAGCCTCTCATTCACATTCAACCCAATGAAAAGTGGGGCTGAAGATTAACATTTAATCTACTGATTTTGTAGAGCACACCATCCACTAATCAGGGACTCCTCAAATACTGTGAGTTAGAAATAGCCACATGTGTTTTAAGTTTTTACACTTAAATGTTCTAGCCTGCAACTGTGGAAGATCATGTTTATTCTGCTTACAGGGTGTTGAGATGCTTATGGAAATTCAGAAACATATCAACAAAATAATTGAAATGGTATGTAAAGAGATTCTATGGTATCTAGTTACTGACACTTAGACACCTTCTAGCATCCTATTTGTAGTTAATTTGGAATTAAATCAATTGTGCTTGATATGGAGAATGTATTTATAGGCTTTGGGCTTCCCACACGAACGAAGTACACCCATCTCCTCAGTGGCTGTGGGTCCAGTCTCTAATGTTACTTAACAATCTCATTTCGATGTCTGAGGCAATTGGCTCTGCATCCCTTAGGATTTACTAAGAAAGAAAGGATGTGGCCCCCAAGACATGAGAGGAAGCTTGATGGAATGAAAGCACAGACTCTTGTGCCTGCATTAGATTCCTGGTTTTGAGCAAACAAGGGCCCCTTGCAGAGCAGCCCTCTTGGGGACAGTCAGAGAAGCAGATGTTTGAGTCACCAGTTGTTCCAATATGTTCTAAATAAGACAGTGCCAGTGATATGACTGGGTTGAGGCTAGGAGAGGAACCAAATCCTTGTCTGTGGGGCTTTGCACGCACACACACACACACACACACACACTTTTATTTTGGAATATTACATTTACAGAAAATTTGAAAAGATAGTACAGAGAATTCCTGAATACTCCTCACCCAGTTTCTCCCAATGTGAATAATACATTACATGGTACATTTGTCAAAACTAAGAAACCAAAATGGTATACTACTAACTCTACACTTGATTCAACTTTCACTGATTTTTCCACTAATGTCCTTTTTCTGTTCTAGGATCCAATCCAGGATCCCACACTGTATTTAGCCTGAGGCTTTTAAGCTGCATGATTAGGAAGCGGTAGGCTGAGGACCCAGTAGGATGGGGTTGGGATACAATAGCAGTGTAACATGGAGGAATTCTGGTTCTATCTCTCACCAGCACAGAGTATGACTACAGGCAGGGGGCACAGGCCCCTCCCCTGCTTTGATGGGGGCTGGCTGGCTAGGACCCAATCCCTGCAGTTGATCAGAATTGCTTCAAGCAATTCCAGGCTGGAGCCGGTTTCCATGGTGCTTTTCAGGAGGCCAGCTTCTTTTCTGGGTGACCAGTCTGTAGAGACTCAGACGTGGACAAGTTAGCCCTGACATTGCACTCTGCTTTGCCATTTATAACTCTGTGACCTTGGGCCAATTCCATAGTCTCTCTGCCTCGGGTTCCTCTTTATAAAATGAGTACGCAAGTCATGAGGGTGACTGTGAAGAGTAAAGGAGTTTAACATGGAACAGGCTGCATCAGGAGCCAGTGCCACAGGAGCCACACCTGGCATTGGTTGTGTCAGAGCAGGTGAAGGAAACCCAGAATGCTCAGGATATTTGAGCATTCTATAATTCATCCTTCCAAATTGATTTTAAAAGTTTTACAGCTGGGCATAGTGGCTCATGCCTGTAATCCCAACACTTTGGGAGGCCGAGGCGGGTGGATTACCTGAGGTCAGGAATTTGACACCAGCCTGGCCAACATGGTGAAAACCCGTCTCTACTAAAAATACAAAACAAAACAAAACAAAACAAAACAAACAAAAAACCCAAGCATTGTGGCAGGCATCTGTGATCCCAGCTACTCGGGAGGCTGAGGCAGGAGAATTGCCTGAACCCAGAAGGCGGAGGTTGCAGTGAGCCAAGATCATGCCATTGCACTCCAACTTGGGCAGTAAGAGTGAAACTCCATCTCAAAAAAAAAAAAAAATTCTTGAATTCTAAAATCTTTCCTGACATTTTGTCTTTTAAATGTTTCATTTACTTCTTGATTATACAAGTAGCTCATGAATGTTCTTGTGAAAATTCAAATACTGATAGAGCTACCTGCCCACAACGGCCTCCTACAGATTACCACCCTCAGTACAGTCCCTTCTCTAGAGATAACCACCATAAAAAATTGAGTGTGGCCTTCCAGCCTTTTTAAAAAAATTGATAGGCCAGGCACAGTGGCTCATGCCTGTAATCCCAGCACTTTGGGAGGCTGAGGTGGGCAGATCACCTGAGGTCAGGACTTCAAGACCAGCCTGGCAAAGATGGCAAAACCCCATCTCTACTAAAAATATAAAAATTAGCTGGATGTGGTGGTGCACGTCTATAATCCCAGCTACCCAGAAGGCTGAGGCAGGAGAATCACTTGAACCTGGAAGGTGGAGGTTGCAGTGAGCCGAGATCGCACCATTGTACTCCAGCCTGGGTGACAGAGTGAAATTTTGTCTTGGAAAAACAAACAAAAAAGATAGATAAATACACACACAACAGAGAACAGTGTTTAAAATAATACAAAAATTATGCACAAATCATTCTGCAAATTGCTTTACTTTTTTGCCCTTTTTATTGAGGTGCTGATCTTTTATTGATATTTCAGAATTCCTTATATAAGGGATTTTAATTCTTTATATATGATTTATATATGCATGGTTCTTTTTGGTTTTTTGTTTGTTTGTTTTTTAGATGGAGTCTAGCTCTGTTGCTCAGGGTGGAGTGCTGTGGTGCAATCTCAGCTCACTGTAACCTCCACTTCCCAGGTTCAGCGAGTCTCTGCCTCTCAGCCTCCTGAGTAGCTGAGATCACAGGCGCCTGCCACCACGCCCAGCTAGTTTTTGTATTTTTAGTAGACACAGGGTTTCACTGCATTGGCCAGCCTGGTCTCGAACTCCTGACCTCATGATCTGCCCATCTCGGCCTCCCAAAGTGCTGGAATTACAAGCATGAGCCACTGCACAAGGCCAATTCTTTATATATGTTAGACCTATTTTCCTGTATCATGTTGCCTGCCTTTAAACTGTATGATACAGAGTCAGATTGATTTTTAAAATTTTTTGATAAAGTGAAATATAGCAATCTGTTCTTTTAAGGCAGTGACTCACAACCAGCAGTGATTTTGTCCAGGGCAAGTCTGGAGACATTTTTAGTGGCCTTGGTTTGGAAGGAGGGTTGTGACAGCATTTTGTAAGCAGGGATCAGAGCTGCTGCTGAGAGTCCTGCAATGTACAGGGCAGCCCCCACAGCAGGTAATCCAGCCCCAAGTGTCAATAGTGCCAAGGCTGAGGAGGCCTGCTTTAAGGCTGTTGCTTTCATGTGCTTTGTTTCAGAAGGGGCTCCCTCTTCCTGTAATACTAGCAATCCACAAGAGTTCTTTATAAGTTTACTACGTACCATCCTGAAGGCTTTAATACTTTAACTAGTTCAATCTGTGTAACTGTATAGGTAGGTACTATTATTACCCCTTTTATATAGATTAAGAAACTTGGGCCCAGCACTTACCCAAAACCCCACAGGCAGGTAGGTGGCCAAGCTGGGATCAAACTCAGGAAGTCTGCCCAGAATCTATGATCTTGATCATAAGCTAAACTGCTCCCGAATCACAGGTTATGTTTTCTCTGAACACTTACAGTTTCAAGGATTTATTTATATCTTAACTTCATCTGGCCTTTATATCAATAGTGTGAAGCAGGGATCACATTCCTGTTGACTTTTCACATGGTGTTACATGTTTGGAAGCTGCAGTGGGATTCTTAGTAATAGTTCCAACTAGTTCATTCATGTTTGAAGAAAAGGCAATAAAGCACTTAAAGAAAGTTCATCACTAGGCTGTCAAAGTCACAAAGTTTAAGTTGTTAAAGTCAGTTAAAGTCATTAAATGTAGTAGAAAGAGCATAATTGTTGAAGCAAACAGCTTTGGTTTCTATTTTGGCTCTGCACTTACCAGCTGCCACCGTGAGCATCTTACATATCCTGCCAATGCATTGGTTTCCTCATCTGTACAGTTTTTAAATGCCTGTCTTGGCCAGGTGTGGCAGCACATAGCTATAATCCCAGCACTTTTGGGAGGCTGAGGTGGAGAGGTCAGAAGTTCAAGGCCAGCCTAGGCAACATAGCGAGACCTTGACTCTACAAAAAAATTAAAAAAAAAAAATTAGTCCAGTATGGTAGTATGTGTCTGTGGTCCCAAGCCACTTGGGAGGCTGAGGTAGGAAGATTGCCTGAGCCCTGGAATTTGAGGCTGCAGGAACCTCTGATCAGGCTACTTCACTTCAGACTGGATGACAGAAGGAGATCCTGTCCCACTTAAAAATAAAAATAAAAATAAATAAGGCTGCCTTGGAAGGACTGGAAGTAATGTATGGGAGGAACCCTGAATTGATGGGCTCCTAATAAAGGGTGCCTTTTTATAGCATAGTAATTGACTATAGAAAGATGTTTAATCCTTCCCGGTGATTACATTGACAACAGATCATTCCTAACATTACCCCAATTCTTCTATGAAATGTTAAATCTATTTTGAGAAAACAATGCTGAAGAAATGGTACATTTTCTCATGCAGGCACCAACCCAAAGATGTCTGTAGATAACCTTAGCGAAAGCCACGGTCTTTAGTTTTAAAACGGAAGATGATAGGAGTGGAGCCAGGATTACTGCAATCACCATGCTTTGTTTTAGTAATAAAGTGATAGTTCCTGATGACATCATTTGGCTGGTGGCATAGATTAGCAAATTACATCATGCCAGATTTATTTTGGCATAACTGACTCTCCCTAGGAACTCCTGAGTAGACTAATTTTTACTAATGAAAGATTATATTTGTTTCAGGTTTTAGCCATTTTTAAATCCACTTAGACTGAGAACAGCCATTCTAGAATACATTGCATATTTTATTATTAAAAATGCTGCCATCCTCTGGGCAACATAGTGAAACCCTGTCTCTACAAAAGTATTTACCAAGAAAAAAAAAAAAATTAGCCAGGCATGGCGGCACACACCTGTCATCCCAGTTACTCAGGAGCCTGAGGAAGGAGGATTGTTTAAGCTCAGGAGGCCAAGGCTGTAGTGAGACATGATTGTGCCACTGCACCACTCTGGCCTGTGTGACAGAGTAGAGGCCCTGTCTTTAAAAAAAATGGGTGGGGGTGGGGCTGCAGATTTTGACTTCCAATATTTAACAGCTTATTCTTATTAAGGTAGAGAGAAAGATGTTACAGGTTATTTTTTCCCCTGGTTATTTTCTGCTGTTTCAAGGCCCTATGCTAGGGGCAAAAGGGTATAAAAACATACTTCCTGTTCTCAGTTTAAAAGTCTCAATGAGGGAGCATAAAAAACGTGAGAAATCCAATAATAATGCAAACCAAGACTGTTCTTCAATGTTCGCCATCCTGAATTGGTGTCAGAAATCACTGAGCTCTTCACCTGATCATGTGATGATGTGACTTCCCTTTGCCCTTCTGTTCAGGGTCACTGTATGTGCATAGACTTGAGCGGGAACCATACCGATGCTTGACAGTCATGCCCTAGCTTATAAAGCCAGTACACGCTGAGCACAAAAGTGCATCCTTTAAAAGATTAGATCCTTGCAATAAAATGCATCCAATACCCCAAATGTGGGAATGCTTCTTTGGGAATTACCTTTGCTTTTAACCTCATGATACTACACCCACCAGATTCACCATATTTAATGACCTTTGGCTGTTTTAAATCAAAGTCAAAACCACCCTGCAGGAGAAAGTGTTTGCACCCTGAGAATATTGGGCCTGTAAAAGCAAATCCCACAGTGGTGTTAAGTTTTAAGAGCAAGGTGGGGACTTTGTATCCTCCTGCAGAAAAAGGGTGCCTGTACACAGAGGGAGTACACGATATATGTGTGAGTAACACATTATTTATATGCATAGAAATGCATGAATCTGTATACACACCCTATATATGTGACTGGGGGCAGAGGGTAAGGATGAACTAAAGGAAACACATTCCTGAATTTGAGAAATAGTTGGTGGCATGTAAAAGTAGAGAGTGGCTGGAATCATCCCTGTGTGCATGAGTACGTGTGTGTGTGTGTGTGTGCGTGCTCACACGTGTGAGATCCAGTGTGGCTGGTCAGGTCTCAGAGCAGAAAGCTTTGCTTGCTGCCACAGCCTTGCTAAAAATTCCAGGTAATATATTTTTATCTTCTGCCCCACAGCCCTCTCCTCCGAAAGCAGAGACCAAAAAAGGGCATGATGGAAACAAAAGAGGTCAAGTAAGTCTATTGATCGTTTACCATCCTTCCATATGACACTGTTTATAGATTTCCTGCCCCTTTTATCTCCCGTAGTCACTTTTTGCTCCAAGACCAGGGCTGAGGCAAATGGAAACCATATAGTGATATTGCTCCAGGAGCACTGACCCTGGCACCCCTCGAGCTGCAGTATCTATCATGCTGCCTGGCCATCACTGGCAGAACTGTCTGACCATCTGGAATCTCACAGGGTTCAGAAGGATTTAAGAGTAATAGGGTTACACTGGACCCTATAGGGGAAGTGTTTGGGAAGTTGAATCTCTCTGATAACTAGCTGAAAGGCACACAGGATGTTATACATTCTATTATTAACAAAGAGAAAAAGCAGCAGCACAAAAAGATGATTATTCCTTCTATCTGGTCCCCAAAAGGCACTGAAGCATCATTTCTGACGAACCATTGCAGGAACTCCAATTTTGCCAGGAGAGTGGGGCAAACAGTCCTCCTTGTCAAAACTGGTTGTGCTGGCTTCAGGAGCCTTGGGAGACAGGCTGAACTTGATCTGTCAGTCATGCTGGTGATTGTGAGTGCTCTGATAGATGTACAGTATCTATTATACACCTAAACTTTCAATAATGTAAATAGAACCACCAATAAGAACTTGGAAGAGCATGCAAATGGGTGAAGGTTACTCACATCTGCAGTATTTCATTTGCTCTGTGAGTGAACTATCCTTGCCTTACCCTGATGTTAGGTACTTGAGAGTCTGCTGGAGTCAAAAGAAGTGAGGCTGGGAATGGAGAAGTCATGGCAAAGTTAAAAAAAAAAAAAAATGAAGCTGAGCCAGATGCCTTGGCTCACACCTGTAATCCCAGCACTTTAGGAGGCTGAGGTGGGTGGATCACGAGGTCAGGAGTTCAAGACCAGCCTGGCCACGATGGTGAAACCCCATCTCTACTAAAAATACAAAAATTAGCTGGGCCTGGTGGGATAAAAACATACTTCCTGTCCTTAGGGAGTTTAAAAGTCTCAATGAGGAAGCATAAAAAACATAAGAAATCCAATAATAATGCAAACCAAGTAGCTGGTATTACAGTTGCCTGCCTCCTGAGGTAGGAGAAGCACTTGAATCCAGAGGCAGAGGTGGCAGTGAGCTGAGATTGTGCCACTGCATTCTAGCCTGAATGACAGAGCAAGGCTCCATCTCAAAAAAAAAAAAAAAAAAAAAAAAAAAAAAAAAGTTTCTTTTCAAGATTGGGAGAGAGAAGAGAAATGTGTGAACACATCCAGCAGTAAGCAAAATCCTGTCAACCGTTTGTATATGTTGGAATGAGCACAGCCTTCTAATATTAGGCCTTGCAAGAGGTGGAGATGATAAACCAGCCATGAGTTCTCAGTGCTTCATTCCAGCAGGGGGTTCTCTGTGTTCTGGAAAACTCAGACCAACATTAGCCCTCCCTATGATCCACTTTACTATTATTGTTTTTTTTTTCCTGTTAGCAACAGGTCAGCATATAGATTCCAGAGAGGCAGTCACAGAAGAATTAAGGGTATAGACTCTGTTGCTAAACTGCCTGCATTAAAATCTGGTCCAAGTTACTTAACTCTGTAGAATGGAGATCAGAATAATACCTGCATTGAGGGGTTGATGTAAGGAGTAAATGTATTTACTTCGTGTAATGTGCTTAGAACAGTACCTGGCATTTAGCACCAAGTAAGTGATGCTTTCATAGTTTAGAAGGCTCTCTAACAAAACTCAATTGATGGACAAAAATTTCCCCAGCTATTCCTTTGTTTGCTAAATAAAAGTTTCCTCCCATTGACATAAAAAATGTTGGATGGTTCTTATAATTAACTAGTGCTATCACCAGTCAAAACAGAATATTCATTCCCGGGTTCATGTTTGTCCTTGAGTTTGGCACACACACACATACACACACCTTACCTGAAGCCCTCAGATTCATAGATATTGTTTCAATTTATAATTGCATAGTAGCAATTTACGGTGAAGGCACATCAAGCTGACTTTTCCATAGCTGTCTTTCCTTGGGGTTATGTGGGTTCCAAAATCACCTTCCACTAAAATCCATCTTCAGTATTGCATACTCTTAGTGGAATTCTTCAATCCTTTTAAAGTGACCAATGCCAGCTGGGCGTGGTGGCTCATGCCTGTAATCCCAGCACTTTGGGAGGCCAAAGTGGATATTCTATGGTCAGGAGTTCGAGACTAGTCTGGCCAACATTGCGAAACCTCGTCTCTACTAAAAATACAAAAATTAGCTGGTCGTGGTGGCGGGTGCCTGTAATCCCAGCTGAGGAGGCTGAGGCAGGAGAATTGTTTGAACTCAGGAAGCAGAGGTTGCAGTGAGCCAAGATCGTGCCATTGCACTCCAACCGGAGCAACAAGAGTAAGACTCTGTCTCAATAAATAAATACATAAATAAATAAAGTAGCTAACACCTGTAATCCCAGCACTTTGGGAGATTGAGCCCAAGACTTCAAGACCAGCCTGAACAACATAGTGAGACTCTGTCTTTACAAAATATCAAAAAATTAGCCAGATGTGGTGACACATGCCTGTGTTCTCAGCTCCTCAGGAGGCTGAGAAAGGATGACTTGAACTTGGGGAAGTCGAGGCTGAAGAGCCATGTTCAAGCCACTGCACTCCAGTCTGGGTGACAGAGCAACACACTGTCTCAAAACATACAAATAAATAAAACTTTTCCTGAAGGAGTGTTATGCTTTCAACAGCTGCATTTATCTAGAGGAAAACACAACATAGGAAAGCACAGGTTTGGAGGAAAAGGACTGGCAGAAGTAGACGGACAGGGTGGACATTTACAGGGAGGGCCTGGACCTTCACCAACCAGGTGGTTATGACTCAGGCTATCCCTATGTACAAGGAATGGCAGTGTCAATAAAGAGAGAACACAGACACACTGAAGAGAGAAAAGTGTGCTCTCAGGCCAAAGTTGGAAACCTCAGAAATAAGAAAATTACTCCCAGATACCACAGGGGAATCATATGCCCTAAGTCATATGAATCAATTCTAAGTAGGATTGAGAATCAAAGGACTGATCTTTGCAGACCTTCATCTGATCATAAAGCATCCCTAACACAGGAATTGCCAAGAACCCTATTGTGCTATATTGATATGCATCGTTTTCTCTTGATCTTGCAGCAGCAGATTACTGGCAAGATGTCCCATCTTGGCTGTTTAACCATTAGCTGCGACACCATAGAACAGCCACTGGTTCTAATACAGGGAATCTGTGCAAACCTGGGGCTAGAACTGGGAACAAACCTGCATCTAGCTATCAACTGTGCTGGCCATGAGCTGATGGACTATGTAAGTTTCCACTCAGAACATTCACCTCCTATTGAGATCCATGGTTTTTAAACTAGAACTCAAAAAAAGAGCTTATCTGATATTTTCTAAACAGATCTGTTTTTTTATTAATATTGTGTGAAGGATCCAAATGTAAATGGAACTGAGAAAACCAAATTAGCTAATGACCACAGAGTAACATAACCATGACATTTAAAAAATAGAAAATGTCATTATTATATTTAGAAATTCTACAATAAAGATGAGTAAAATGAGTTGCTTACATTTCCATCCTGAAAGCTACTGAAAAACAATTGAACAAATTGCATTTGGTTGGTAAAGGCTGAATTTGTCGAGCCTAAAAAGTGGATGAGTTGTAACTTATGACTTGATAGGCCCTTCTAGACATGTGGTTCTTAGAATTTATGCTGTGACTTTTTAAATATAAAAATATTTCCAAGTTTGAAGTTTATGATTATGTTTTTGTCCAACTAAACATATCACAGTGTTATCCACAGCCTGGGTCAGGAGGACAGAGTTTTAGTGATGTGATGAGACTTCACCTGGGGACCACCCACCTGAAGAGAAAGATTTTAAAAAGAGAGTGGAAAACAGGTTCATTAAAAAATACTCTAGTCATCACTTCCTCAGGGTAATACAACAGCAATTTACCTTTAAACTTGGGAAACTGGTATGTTAAGAAACTTATCAGTTTTCTGTCTTATATACTTCCTGATATGGTTTAGCTATGCCCGCACCCAAATTGCATCTTGATTTGTAGCTCCCATAATTCCCATGTGTCATGGAAAGTAACTGAATCATGGGGGTGGGTCTTCCCATGCTATTCTCGTGATAGTGATTAAGTCTCACTAGATCTGATGGTTTTATAAAGGGGAGTTCCTCTGCACATGCTCTCTTGCCTGCTGCCATGTAAGAGGTAACTTTGCTCCTCCTTTACCTTCCACCATGATTGGGAGGTCTCTCTAGCTGTGTGGAACTGTGAGTCAATTAAACCTCTTTCCTTCATAAATTACCCAATCTCAGGTATGTCTTTATTAGCAGAATGATAACGAACTAATACACTTCCCAATTTTAAATACACAAAAATGCTGAGTCTACGTTTTATGAAATGTCCAGCATATTGTCAAGCATTTATGGTGACTTGGTAATTTTTGTCAAATTCAGGGGACATGACCAAATAGGATTCTGCTTTAACTGTGATTTTAACTTTACAAAGGAAATTCTGAATACTACATAAGAACCCTAAATTTTGGCTGACTTCTAAAAGTTCTTTTACTTTTCAAAAGAAACTAAGCACATAAAAGAATATTTAAAGTAATTTCCTATTCTTCACATAATGATTGGTTCCTAGGCATACCATTAAGAAAAATAATTGCATGTTTTCATCAGCAATGTATACCAGGAACTATGAATATACCGACTGCTAGTGCTAACTAGAATGGGTATTTATTGCTTATATTCAGGAAAATATATTAGCTTGATATCAGATAATTCTTACAATATTGTTGGTTCAAAATCATTAGCGTTTCTTCACTGACAAGATAGGGTTTTTAAAGCTTTGCGTTACAGAAGTTAAAAGTTCTTGCTGCTTTTGAAGGTGAAAATATAAAATTCCTTTAGTTATGGTCTTCTTAGGAACCTGCTTAATTCCAATGGAATCCATTCTATTAGCAGCAGCAGCAGGAAGGCATTAGCAAACCAAACAGCGATACTGATCCATTCCAGCTCCCTCCCCTTGCCAAAATTTCCCAGGTGCCATCCCTGAACATAGACTTAAAAGGGAGGGTGCTTTGTTTTGCAGAAAGCTAGACTAGATCCTTCAGCCCTGTTTACTTCTATACTTTATAACTTAGGGGTTTGCCAGACTTCAAACGAATGTTGCACTAGAATTCTACCTTCAGGACAATAGCGTTACTGCTGGAAGGTACATGCTACCTGAGAAAGAAATACCTCACATAAGTCACAGTACTTTTCAAACTGGTTGTTAGTGTATCAAAAGCCTAGCCTTGCTTTCTGACTTTAGAATATTTACAGTAAAGGAAACAAGTTATGAGCTGAAAGATAGCAGGGTGTAGTGAGTGAGCAAGTTAGCAGTGCTATTCTGCTTGTTTTGCCAACTATCGTCCATCTACCCAGGCAGTCAGGTCTAACAGATTATTCCCCTCCTACTCTGTACTCATTGGTGTTTTGTGTAGGAGGCTCCATCTGAAGTCTGTGGGAAGAGCCCTGGAGGGTATCAAAAGGAATGGTGACTTGATTTCCCAGGTTAATATTTAAGATATTTAAAGTAGAATACACAGATTTCTCAGGTCACTGTGCCCTGAAAATAACCTGTTTACAACCTCTTAAAATAAAATGAACGAAAATGAATCTGAACCACATCTTTGGCATTTGATGAATTCATCGTCTATCCCTTATTTTAATATTTTCCTGACACATATCAGAGTAAAGGAAAGTATGAAGTGATGATGGGCACATACAAAAATGCAGTGGAGATGGTTGACCTATATGTGGATCTGATCGACAAGTACCCTTCAATTATTGCCTTAATTGATCCTTTCAGGAAGGAGGTAAGCAGGACTCATCTTCCATATTTTATAACATATTTTATATGCCATAAGATAGGCAAGACTCACCTTTTACATTTTATAGCAAAACTGAGAATAAAATCTCATTCTTTTGGATCTCTGTCATTCAAAATGTGTTGTAATTTGGTCTGGGGCTGAGTTACTTTATTTCAGCATTTATGAGAAAAGGCACTTACTAAGCAAATGAATAGCAAAAACACAATAACCTAGGAGTGTGCCTGTCTGGGGAATGAAACACGCTATTTGCAAGCCCTTCAGGAGTACCTGCGTATTTACAAGCAACCTCACTGATGGAAGCTGCCCCTGCTGTGCCAGCTGGAGCTTCAAAAGATTAATCATATATCATTTTAATGTGCTCAGGGAAACAGGACTTCTATAAGGCCAAATATTTTTCAACCTAAATCCAGTCACTATATATGCATAAAAAATAACAAAGCCATTTTTGGGTTTTTTTGGTTTTTTTTTTTGAGACAGAGTCTCACTCTGGCACAATCTTGGCTAAATGCAACCTCTGCCTGCCGGGGTCAAGTGATTCTTCTGCCTCAGCCTCCCGAGTAGCTGGGACGACAGGCGTGCACTACTATATCCAGCTAATTTTTGGTATTTTTAGTAAAGACGAGGTTTCGCCATGTTGCCCAGGCTGGTCTGGAACATCAGAGCTCAGGCGATCCACCCACCTTGTCCTCCCAAAGTGCTACGATTACAGGCATAAGCCACTGCCCCTGGCCTGTAAAGCCATATTTTAAAGGGTTTGAGATACTGAGGTTTCATGATCTATCCAAACTCACGCATTTGACAAGTTATGTGCCACAGAAGACTATCTCTCCCCCTAACCAACTTAAAGTCTAAAATACAAATTATTGATTTTATAAATTTGAGAACCATCAGATAGATTGAACAGATATACTGAACAGTATCTTCTTTGAGATAACACAACTATTTTGATTTGGAGGACAATATAAAAAAATGGTCCTCATTTTGAGTCCCAGGGTCTCAGTCTCGTCCTCCCTTTAACAGCTTCCATTCCACACCGACAGGCAAGAATGCACCGGCTGAGCTTAACCAGCCCTGTGATGACTTTCCTGAGGCTCGGGTCACTTTTTTTTTTTTTTTTCTGAGACAGGGTCTTGCTCTGTCATCCAGGCTGGAGTGCAGTGGCCCAATCACAGCTGACTGCAGCCTTGACCTCCCAGGCTCAAGCCATCTTCCCACCTCACCCTCTCAAGTAGCTGGGACTACTAGGCACACTACCACACCCAGCTAGTTTTTGTATTCTTTTTGTAGAGATGGGGTCTCGCCATATTGTCCAGGCTGGTCTCACACTCCTGGACTCAAGCGATCCTCCTGCCTCAGCCTCCCACAGTGCTGGTATTACAGATGTGAGCCACTGCATCTGGCCTGGACCACAGCTTTTTTCATGCAATAGGATGAACCTGTGTGGTCTGTTCTAATGGGGTAAGTTGAAATCTGATACAAAGGCTAGGATGACTGTGTGTGTGTGTGTGTGTGTGTGTGTGTTTGTACACACACACACATATATATACACACACAAACATGCATATATATGTATATAACTTTAAAGTAAGCATTTCATTTCATTTGGTGGTCTCATCAATAAAAATAAGGGTGTTGAGAAGGGCCTAGACCGCTTGCAGGCTTTCTTTTTCCATTTTCTGTTTACCAGAAATATCAAAAAAATATATCCAGCCAATCTTTAGCAGCATTATAGACAACAGTGGATGGAAATAGCCTGGGTCTGAGGAACTCTACAATCCACGTAAGAAATGGCATTTAGTGTATTGACATTTAATTCACAAAACCTTTAAGTTCAAATGTTACTGCTTTTAGTTTCTGTTCCCCAAAGCTTGTTGGTTTGTGTGGCTGTGGTACAGGGATCATTCAGGAACAGAAGTAAAAGAAAATTCTTTTGTGTATCTCAGGAAAAATGTGTGAGTTTGATTATGTGTTATATTATTCCTGCTGTTTTGTAATTATGTTCAGTGCATTATAATGATCAATTCTTAAATATTTACCCAGGACGTTGAACAGTGGGACAGCATCTATCACGCACTTGGTTCCAGGTGTTACATAATTGCAGGAACCGCATCCAAAAGCATCTCTAAACTTCTAGAGCAAGCAAACATCAGCATCCCCAAATCCAATGGACTGATCATAACACACACAAACCAAACTACGATGTCTGACTTGGTGGAAATAACCAATCTGATTGACAGTGAGTAAAAGTATACATGTGAAAGACGCGTAATAACTTGGTTATACAAGCAGCCAAAAATATACACCATATCAAAGTCCATAAAAAGCATGGAAGAAATCTTGGAAGAAAAGAAAGTCCAACCATTTGTGAGAGATTTAGTGCTGGAAAACAATATGCAGCTTACTGACGTACTTCACAGCATTCCACTAACAGCCCAAGGCCAAGCTCATCCCCTTTACTGAGGGCTGCCAGAGGTATGGCCAAGGCCACTGCCCTGTTAGCTTCACAGTGGGGAGGGCCTTTCTGCCTGTAACAGGAGGACTAAGGACTGAATTCTTCTGAAAGGGCATAGCCTTCAGCACATGTATCAGTTTGCTTTAGGCTCTGAGCTTGGGCTACAGAAAATCTTTAAATTGACAGAAACCCAGAGAGGAACCCCAACTCTTACTGCCAAAGAACAGGTCTCAAACCCTGAATCATGTACTGTGGAACACCTGGGTACTCATCTGCACTAGCCAGGCTTCCGGCTATAATGCAGTGTTCAAGCCAAGAAAAACAGCCCACCATTCACGAAGTCAAGGCACCAGGCACAGCCAAGGAACAGCAGGGACAGAATGTGTGTAGCCTGCATCACATTACTGCAGTATTGTAAATTTCTTCCTACCATTTACTACCACTTTATGCTCTAGATTCTAGATGAAGACAATATCCTAGTAGGGACCACAGCTTTCTTCCACACAGGCATAGTAGGATATAGGAATTACTTAATTGAAAATAAACTTAGCTACTTGTAATATACCCAGACCCAGTGGGCCATTTTAATTTGCTTGGGGAAGTCTAGAAGGGACCAGAATTTGGAATGAGATCACCCATTGCAGTGAATGGTCTACTTCAGCAGTTTAGAAGACAGGCAACAAGATCAAATTAGAAGCAGTTTTCTGTCAGTATAGAGACCTGAGGCAAGGGTAGGTTGACAGTTACTAACACGCAGCACAAGGAAGCTGCCAATCGGGTTGGCAAAGCAGTGGGGCATTGGAAGTCTCTGGAAGCAGAACATGAGTCATCAAGCTGGGATTCAGGGACCGGATTCCACCAATGGGAATCAGGGGATGACAGGTGAAAAGCAAGACTCCAGTGCTGGTGCATCTGGGATGCCAGAGGAGAGCAGCTTAAGGCCAATGGGTCAGGCATTTGTGAACTGGACATAATCCTTACACCATCCCTGTGAAGTAGACTCTACCATTTCCACTTTACTGATAAGAAAAGACTTGGAGAAATTAGGTAACTTTCCCATGACGCTACAGTGATCTCACTTGCCCACCTCAGTCTTTTAAACATGCTGTTCCTTTGGTCCAGAATGCTTTGCCCTGACACACTTGACTGCATCCTTCAGGTCTTGGCTAAAATGAAATGTCTTCAGCCACTCTTGCCTTCCCCAATCCTTAACTGGTTCTGTTCTGAATCTTCCTCCTAGCATCCTGTATTTCCTCTTTGCAGTACTGATCACAATGACTTGTACAACTATCTAATGACTGGGATCTCCCACTAGACTACAAACTGAGTTCATAGACATCTTGTACCCTTACGCACAGGGCATGAAACAAATACAAGTGGATCTCAGGAACTAGACAGAAAGCTGGCCTCAGACCTGGAGCAGAATTCAGGGCCAGACTGGCAACCAGGGGCCTGGGTTGGTGCCAGAGGATGGAAGAAGATGCTCAGGCAGGGCTGCCCTGTGGGTAGCAGATGATAGACAGGAGGCAATGCAAACACTGTCACTGCGGGAAGAGCTCTGGCTGGCACTCTTCATAGACTGGCACATTTTAAAGGGTTTTGAGACCCTCAAATGATTGATTACTCACTAGTCTTCTAGCAAACATTCAGAATGACAGTCCATTGTATAAAATTCTACACAATGAAATGAGAAAGCCATTATATAGGCATACTAACTCCACGTCACTCTTGCCATGTTTCACACTGACTCAAAGATGCACACTTTTCTACACTAAACATTTAAAAAATTGATTTGTGTCTTACAGCCATGGTCTTAGAAATGTGTCAAAGTAATTTGAGCATCCCCCTACCCCCTTTTAGTGGTAATAACAGTACATCTTACAAATCATGTATCTTAATTTTGATGAAACATGATATTCATTTAGTATTTACAGCATCTCAGCTACTGGAAGTAGGGGGTGTAAATAAAAGCAGGGCAATAAAAATGCAAATGTTAGAATTCTTAGGTGGGGAAGTAATTGACTCTTCACAGGGAAGTTTAAATCTGAGAAATTTTTAATTTTGATCCCAGAGACTCACTGGTATGCTAACTCTCTGTACCGTATAAAACTGAAAGGAATTCCTCTTCCAGATAAGCAGCACATCGCTGTCTTTGGAAGCACAGAAGGAGAATCATCTGATGACAGCCTTGTTGATTTGGTAAGTGCTGAATGCTGGTCAACTGCCAAACACTGCTTTTATCACGAATTGGTATTTCAGAGAAATGCAGTCTTTGGTAGAGTAAGTCATGTAACCTTTTATGAAATAGACTTGCTTCCTCCCAGACAGCTACCTTTTGCAAAGAGCTAATCTCTGAACTTTTAAAAAGAAAAATTGAAGTCCAGAGAAAATGATGAGCACACTTAAACGAGTGGTGTGTGCACCTGCAATCTTCCCTCCTAAAATGAAGTGAGAAAGGCCAGAATGTTCTTAGATAAAATCAGCATGCCTCCGTGACTAGTAAGGTGCCTGATGGATAGTCAGTCACATCATCTGTTTGCTTTTCAACACTCTCAGCTTGTAGACCCCTGAGCTTATGTAAAGATAAAAAACTAAGTAATAAGAAAAAAACCCAAAGAGCACACTGTGACAGTTTCCTTTCTCCTTAAAGGATTGTCTGTTTTTTAGCAAGACATGGCTCCTCCATCTAAAATTAGTTTTTCCCCTCTTTTAGGCTGTTGGGCTTGGTGTCCGGTTTATCAAGTTGGGGGGTCTTTCCCGTGGTGAACGGGTGACTAAATACAACCGCCTTCTCACTATAGAGGAAGAACTTGTCCAGAATGGAACACTGGGTATGCGCTGTTTCTTGCTTTGTTTTCACTTAGCCATGAATAAGAGAACAAAGATTGGAAGAGGGGGAATAGAAGTCCCTCCGCAGGAGGCCAGGGGAATCCAAAGACCATAAGTAAGTGCTGACAAAACTAGGATGGCACTTGCCACAATGTATATTGTTGTCTTAATGGATTATCTATTTACCTGAATGTTTAAAACTCCCACCCTTTTTCTTGATGAATAGGCTGCATGATGCTCTTCAATAGAATTAATTGATTGGAATTCCCAAGCCTACCTTTTGTTATGGTCCAAATTATACTTAAGGTTTCTCTGCACAGCCCATGAAAGTTAAAGACAGATGCTTTCCTGAGGGTTCCTGGAAACTAATCGTTTTACTTAAAAACAAGTAGGCAGTGTGTTAACATACCTTGGAAAGGCTAAGGTTTCAAGAGAAATCAATTAATCATTTAATGAAATCAAACCTTTGTATATCTGCATGGTTAGAAGCACCCTGTATACTGGGTAACTGGAGAGAAATACACCAAATATACATTTCTATTCTTATATTACTGATTGTGATGGCCAAAAGGAGGCACATAGCATGCAGTGACATTTAAAGAGACTGATAGAAACTGTGATTGTAAACTTGTCTTGTTTAACGTCCGTAGTGGTCTTGAAATGCATCCTAGGATTCATAGAAAATAAAGATATAATTGGGAGACTATTTCTGAGTCATGAAAGGGCAGTCAAAAGTTATTCTGTATTGTTTTGTGTGTAGTAGAAGGGCTAGTTTTTTCAAATGGGTAAAATTATACCGTTCCACATACCTGATTATTTTCCACGGCATCCTGACTTGTGGAGACCTTAGCTTCCTAGCATGACTGATCGCAGTTCCAGCCAGACATTTTACCATGAGGGAAACAGCTGTTTCAGGGCTCTGGTGACCGGAGGCCCCGCCCCTCTCTGGTGACAGTGCAGCCCCCTCAGTATTCCGCAATGGATTAACAGATTAAGGAGAACTTCTCAGACACTGGCCTTGGTGAATCACTATTAAAGGGACCAAAAACTGGTGAAAAAAAAAACAAACAAACAAAAACAACAAACAAACAAAAAAACAAATCTAAAACAAATCTCACCACTCCCACTTTTGAGTAGGAAATCTTGGCAAAATCTCTGCCATTAAAATGCTATCAATACTTACATGTAAGGACCTGACTGTAATAATCCTTCCCTGGCATCCTTTCCCTCACAGCAGTCAGCGGGCAGTGCCTTGTACCATCTATAATACTGGCCTTTCCCCCAGTTCATTATCTTCCTCTTAACCCTTTCCACTAAGCCTCTGCCGAAAGTCCATGATGCATCAGCAAACGATTCAGTACATTGAATGACAGTGCAAATAAAACTGAACAGAACAATTGTAGGACACAATTAACATATAACCAAAGATAGGCCCAGTTGTAAATGGTCCTGGAATCCTTTGGGATCGTGATGTGACACCTTTGGACTAGTACTGAAGATGATCTCCTTCAACTCATGTAATATATAAAAACTGGTACCATTGGATTAGACAGTAAGCTTTATTGTTAACTTTTTTTAAAAAAACAGGTTTCAATGAAGAACACACTTTTTTCTACTTTAATGAGGAACTTGAGGCTGCTGCGGCTGGGGAGCTGCTGGAGCCCCTGGAGCCCACCTTTCTTACACAAGGTGTCGAGGAATCAGCCAAAACAAGAGCATCCTCTGGATAGGGCTGTACACACCCCAGGTTCCAGCCACACCATCAGCATTCGCAGACTGGGAGGTCTAAGTACAGCACCGTGTTTCCGCATCGAGTTTCCTCTTAAACTTCACCAACTCCTGTGGTTTTGATTCTTTTAATTCCACTGCTTAGTAAAATACATATATGGTGGTTTTGCCTGAGATTATATCTGTGAACTTTGTTTGACAGCCATCGCATTTCCGTAGATTTTTGTCTATTAGCTCTCCTGTCCATTTTTCAGGGGCACGCTCCGGTAAAAGAGGCCAATATTTTTGTTGCCAACTCCACACTCAGTCAAACATCTCATCCTTTACCAATCAGAACATTTCGGAGAACAAAAACCTAATGACCCTAGAAGCTCTCTGTGCTGGGAACAGATGTCCATCTTCTGTGTTTATTCTACATATCTGTGCTGAAAAGCATCGACACATTTTTATAGCCAGCCTCATGTAGAAGTTAAGTGTGAGAGCATCACTCTTTTTTGTAACAGCCAAATAGTTTTATCTCTTTCCTACCCTTAATTCCCTTTTCCCTAATTCCTTCTTTTTACATTTTAGTTTTTCTTGTATTATTTTTACCTTTGTGGGTCTTCTTAGATCCTTTTTGGAATGAGTATAAATGAATAAGCACATCAGCAAATGAATAAATATTCTCAAGATTATTAAATGCCCAGTTATTTATTCTACAGCATTTAAAAAGCAATTCGCAAGTGATATTAAAAAAAAATGGTATGACATATTTGTTGCCTGAGCTTGCTCTTTTGTAAGTTAGTGTTGTGATTACAGCAGAGGAGTAGCAGAAATAAAACATCTTCAGACACAAACATATGGATATAATAATATCCAACCATTTTGTATGATCTAGGGTCTCTGTTAAAAGGGTTATAGCATTTGCTTTTCCTAAACATTATATAAATTGCTATGTACTGAGTTGGCTGAGTTTAGACTTCTGACAAATTCTGTAATTTTTACTAAGCACACTGAGGACCTCTCCTTTTAAAGAATACTAACAAGGGACCTTAATGTCCTCATAACAGAGCCAACTTCTTATTCTCAAAGCTATGATTTGAAACTGGCTCAGGGCAGACTCAGAGCATGAGGCAGGAGACTTGGTTGATGTCCCTTTAAGTTGGGAGAACTGTGTCACAGTGTGTGGTTGCTACTGTCTCTCCTGATGCTCAGCAACAAACAACAGGTAGGAGAAACTGGAAGGAAAATTCATTTTAAAGGCAGAACAAACATGACTGGGTGTTCACATGCACTTTGAAAAATACACACACATACACACACACACACACACACACACACACACGAGAGTATGCCCTGAAACAGTGCTATAAATTATAATTAAATTACTAAAACCAGAGTAAAAATGTTCAAGGAATAACAAAATAGCTAAATTAAATTAACCAAAGAGGTGATTTATTACCAGACCAGGTCAGCAATTTAACTTCAACACAGAGCGTAGTTTACTCACCTATCCTCACTTGAGACCACACTCACCAATGGATAGTTAGCATTTTAATTTAAATTTCTTCGGGTGCTAGGCACTGTTTCTATTTATACTTTCTCTGTGTTATATGATATATAATAGAAATATATTTATATAACTGTATATATAATATTATCTGTGAAAGAAATGAAACTAGTCATATCCCAAATTTAAAAAGATGGTGGGATAGGGCAATGTCAGTGCTTAGAAGGGAAACTTCAAACCACTCCAATCCTTACACAGGGACTGCTTGATGAGTCTTCTAAGGTCAGTGATAATGACAGATGTTTATCCATTCTTCACAACTTACTGGTATATAAGCAAATGTTGTTCCACAACGAATGTAACTAAACATGTAGAGTATGCATTTAGAAAAATAATCCAGACTTTGTGGCTATGATATAGACCATCATTTACTGAATACACAACCAAAAACTGGCCAGGAAAGATAATTAACAATAATTGTTACCTGTACTACCCCATTTCCAGCAGTTTGCCATTAACAAAGAAGGTAAGGAAAGAGCAATTACTGTTGAGTAGTCAGAGCCAAAGCGTCCATCCTCCTTACTCAGGGCAAACTAGGCTGGGTGCTAACAGCCCTGTTGATGCCTGTCAGTCAGAACTTCCATGGGACTGATTATTTGCTGAACTGTGGGTGAGGACTTTGTTTAAGACCAGCTCAGATACAAAAGGGTGCAAGCGCTTTAATTAAAATGTTATTCTTCCAGAAAAAGGGAGAGACATTTTCTTTTTCTTTAATAGCAATGGCACAAAGTACCTCTATCTCTTTGCCTCACTCTAGCTATAAAATGCATTAACATTAGTTTAAAAAAAATCCTCTGTAGCCTACAAGACTTAATTTATCTTTCCCAAACAGAAGGAAGCATAAATAACCTTTTAGAGAGATCACAATCATCAAGATGCAGTCTCTTCCAACTTAAAATCGTGTACACAGGTTGTATATAAGTTTTGTGTGTGCAACAGCTATGAACATACTTTGCAGATATAAGCATAGTTCTCCTATGCCTTCTTATCTGGGATACCTTGCTTTGGTTGACAATGTCACCCCAGCCAGGGGCAAAAACCCCTCAAAATCAAAGTGAAAAGGGAAAAACTCTGGGCAGAAAAGGTTAGGGAATATCTTACATCGAATACTTTATGTCAAATTAATTTAAAATTCTTTGTAATCAGAGTAGGAGAAAGAAAGCAGCTTAAAAAAGGTAAGAACACTTTCAAAATACCCGTTATGAACTGTTCCCTAGTTCAGCTAGCACATTTCACCAAAAGGGCAACTTCTTACTCCAGAAAGGAGGGTGTTTGGATAACCATATTATTCTGTTGATGGTGTGATGAAATATGGAAAGACAGTGTACACATTTTTATATTCCTAAATGTGTGTGAGTCGCATGGTGGCAGACGGATCACAGATGCAAGAAGGAAGACAACACAAAGAAACATCAAAGAAAACTCAAACCATCTTAGGGACTATTGAAAATTACTAAAGTTGTCAACTCATATACAATTTTCTATTAAAGAACGTCAAGCTTGGGGAGCTAAGCCAGAAACGTTGATAATAACTACAATTGACCCTTAATGGGAAACTGTTGGTGCCTTTTTAATAAGTTGTGGTGAGGAGAGTTCATATTACAGCATAACAATTCGCTTAGTGAATTAATGCAGTCTGTAGTTAGCATATCATATAGCAGTATTGTCCAGTTAAGGAAAGATACAGTTGAAAAACATTACATTTTAAGTCTCCATGAGTAAAGTGATAAGTAACTGTAAAATCATCACTGGGAGAACATGGAAATAGTCAAGCATAATGAAATTACAGAAAGATAATTATCTCCAAATTTAGGAAGTACATGTACCTGCCTACCCACCTCTTCAAGCCTATGCTTACCACACGTGCAAAAATACAATACAATACAACTACTGCAATTATTACTATCATTTTCTTTTGCCCTTAGGTGAAAAACACCTTAAAGCTACATGCTGAGCCATGCTAACAAAACTAAACCTTTCACTTTCTTTAATAGTAAAATTACCATTACTGAATCATTGTCATAAAAAGTGCATTCAAGTACATTACCACTTATTTTAAATAAACACCAATTTTGAAACAATCAACTTTGAAAAGCTGCATAAGTTTTTTTTTTTTTAATCCCTGATTACATTTCTATTTATTCACTGTGGTAGCCTGAAACATTGTATTCTTAGAGACTAACTACTGCTTAATTTATTTATTTCTTTTTTTTTTTTTTAGTAACAACAAACCTGTGTAATATAGAACAGCAGTGAAGCAAGAAAAACGTGTGCTTGTCACTTATCTTCACTGTACATAAGAACTGTGATAAAATATGGTACTTGTGCCACATTAGTATATGGGAAAACATAATTAACTCATAGCACAGATCACATGGTTTACCAACGTATTACTGTTAAATTCAAGGTTTAGACTTCCACCTCAATTCTGTATGTAGGCTACCGGAGCATCCCCTCGGAGGTCCTTGGGAGGCTTTGGACACAATTGACATCATGTATTTTTCATCCGATAGTTAACAACGTGTGTAATTAACACTGACTATGGGACTATGAGTTTGATGCCAGCTCCTGAGTTTTAAGTTTATCTCAGTCTACCATAGAAAATAACTTGTATGCCACAGTACCCAACAATTTCCATGCTGCTGCAGTTTCTCCATTAAGAGGATCAGACCCAAAACAGAAGCCTCTTGGGGGGCTTTTAAAATCGTATTAGGTTGATCAATTTTGTTTATCCAATTATCCACAAGCACCTCAAACTTTCATCCTTCCATTTGATGAGTGGTATGCACAGTTCCTGAAAAGGTATCAACATCTGAATTTTTTTGTAACCTTCTAAAAGAAGTCATACTTAATACAGTAACTAGGAAAAGAAAATCTCATCTTTAATAAAGATCAAAAAACCAAAACCTACTAGGAACGTGTATTTTGCTAAATAGCTTACTTATGTTTATAGTTGCTACTTACAAAAGTGACACCAGAAAAGAACCTGTATTCTGAATACAGTGACCAGAGCAGAATGTCTATGGCCCTTGCCAATACACTCACACTAATCGTGTGCTTATTGAAAAGGACTTCCAAACATGTCAGGCTTCTGGTTTATGGATCAGCAGTTGGAGCTGTCTGTCTCTCTCACGTTTTCAATGCTGTCTTCTTTGTTTTCTGGTTTAATTTCGCCTTCATCCTCCTTGTGTTGAGTTGGATCTTTTTCAGCAACCTGGTCTTTGGTTTGGGGTTCATGTGTAGAAACAGGATCTAAAACTACAACTGGTTCGGCTTGTTTTTCACCATCAAAGTATTTTTTCCTGCATCCAATGCTACTGGGAGGCCTATGAGATGAAGAGTTAGACAAAAAATAAAAAATAAAAATAAAAAGTAGAGAGAGAAAATAGTTGTCTCTGATATTCTGGATTCAGAACCACAGAAAACCCAAAATGTTCTAAGTCTAATCAACATGCATATAGTCATCTTTGAGATGCCAGCCATTTAAAAGAAAACATGAAGCTACTGGATTACACAGCTGATATTAGGAGCACAAGGGCAGAAGGAAGAAGGCAGAGAAAGAGCGATTAACTAACTACAGAAGTGTAAGAAAGCCAAACGCACCTACCTGCTTAATTACATGCTCTTCTCAGGAAGTGAAAAGCTCATGGACAAACTGTGAACTTCTCATCATGGCCTGCTGCCCAGGCTCCCGCCCACCCTCACTTAGCTGGAAGGAGCCAGTTAACTCCCTTCCCTCCTGCGTATTCCTGGGTACGGCTGGTTGCAGGGTATCCCTAAGGAGCCTGCATGAACTAGGGGAAGTAATTACCCCAATCACTGATGGACAGACAGGTGAGAGGCATGCCAGGTGCTGCCATTACCAACTAGAGGAGACATGGCCAGACCTTGGGAGGGAGTGGCAGTAGGACCAAGGGCAGCGAGAGAGAGTCAGAGTGGAAGCTAAAATGCTAAGTTACTATTCATTTTTCTAAAAGGAGGATCAGGTTTCTTGAGAAATTTCTTATGGAATTTCAGAGGCAGTTTTCCACAGAGTCCTCCTCTCATCTCTTCTGATGCTAGAAGCTATGGCTATCCTCAGGCTGAATGGGTGAGGATTTCCTTATAGAAACAGGTACCTCTGAAACACCTGAAGTTTCAGGCTGCTGCTGCTGCCTGAAGGTCGAGGCAGCTGCAGTGGGCAGGGCTGGGGCTTTCGGACT